TCGTCATTTGCTTATAAAAACGCCACAAATGTTTATTTTTTTTTATAAAACTTTAAACAAAGCTGAAATAATTGTTACAAATATAATCTTCCATCTACATCGGAGCAGTCAGCATGTGCCCATCTACGTGCATCGGTACTCTAGTTCATTGTCTTTACTAAATTCCCCACATATTACACAAATGGTTTTCGTAGAATTGACATCTACGTCATCAAGTTCATCATCGTCACAAATTTGTATCTTTATCCAATCCTCTTTTTTAGTTGAACTCTCATCAAATTTTACTTTTTGTACATATAATTTTTCTTTTTTTGGAGTTTCTTTATTCTTTATATTTTCATTTTTTAAAACAGTTTTAAAAATGCAAACATTTTGGATAATTTTAAAATGTACTCCGTCAATTCTGCTTCATGTTTTTCAGAAAATACAGAGTTTAGGCCAAACTTTCCATTTTTGAGTCTGCTATTTTTCGTTCAGATCGCACAAGTTCTATTGCAGCTATTAATTGACATTCTTCATAGCTGGATTTATTGCTTCTTCTATGGTAAACATTAGGAATCTGAAATTTAAAATACTACTGTACATTTTATATGGTGTCAATCCGCGCTGCGTGAAATTACCCCACTCCGATTGCGCGGAATTATCCAAAACGTGTTTGTGTCTCCCTTATAATTACCCCAAAAAATCAAATACTAACGTAATACCTAGCATTTATACTAGCTTTTTTTAATTATAAATTAAAGGCACTATGACAAATTAAAAATTTAAATAATTCAAAAATCAGTTGCAAATATGTCAGTTGCAAACCTTGACTTTCACAGTTAATGAATCAAATCACCGTTCTTCTACATATTGGAGTATTTTTAATTTATTCTGTTATATAGGGAAAATAACTTAACTTCGTGGTTTTTGGTTCTGTTGGTATATAAGAGATGTAATACAATAATATTTGGTCAATTTCATACTTGTGCAAAGATCCAATTGACAGACTATATAAAATTTGAATGAAAATAAAATATAAAAGTTGATATTGCATCTAACTGATGCGAATAAATTTATGACTTTCGGCTAATAACCTTGTTAATACATTTATTATTTTAACTTAATGTTTGATATCACCTTTTATTTTAATAATTTATCATTGGTACATTGTTTTAAAAGTTACTTTCACATAGCCGTTAAGCTCTCATTCTGCCAAATTTGGTAAAAATATTTTAGGAAATGTCCCTGCATTTTTTTGATCATACGACTCGTTAAAAAACATTATTCAACTGGTAGTTTTTTTCAATGTTATAATTATGATTGTTTGAACCAGAAGTGATACAACTAGTTGCATTTACATAATATGTTGATTAAAATTTAATTAAATTAGTGATATATATGTATAATAATCTAATAAATTATAATAAATAAATTCTTAAATAAACCTTGATGGAGTAAGACCGCCTAAGAGTACTCGCTATTCATGTATATGAACATTTCTTAAATTTCAACAAAAATTTGACATTCAGAAATTACCATAGTAAGTTTCTTAAGTTAGTGAAACAATATTTGAGGAGTTTCATTCCAAAACTCGACTTTTTCTAGAACTACGGTAATTAGACAACCTGATAATACAGTAGTGGATTGTATTAGAATAATGACAGTAGTAATTCAGGCATAATTTAATTTCTGTTTAGACCATTTCGACAAAATTTGGAAATAAAGATGGGCAAGACAAATTTTGGCATGACTGCTTGGATAAGACGATTTATGGAATGATAACATGCATCATTTAATATATGTATTTTATTTGATTAATTTTCAAACATTGGTTTTATAATAAGGAAATATGGTTTATTAGGATATTCTAAATTCTTGGCAAAATGTCTTCTTCAAGGCCCCCCTACCAAAACTCATTCGTATCGGTATTTTCATCTGATCTTTCAATAATCTTCACTTGTTCCTGACAGAAACTCTTAAAAAAGTTAAATCTTTTTGCTCCGCCCAATTCTTTACTAAATAACTTCTTGAAGTAGATTTCCTCGCCTTTAACTTTTATTTTACCTTTATTTTTTTCAGTTATAATTCTTTTGGTAGTTGAAAACTTGAAGTGTTAGGGCTGAACACCTTTTAAGTATTCCTTTGAGACTTCCTTTTATCACTTACTCCACAATCAATACCAAAAACCTGCTCGCATGGTAGAAGCGAATGTCCTCTAATGGGAAATACCAGTTCAATTTTTTCAATGTGTGGTGGGCGTTTTGAACTAGAAAATAAATGCACATCGACCATAGGTGAGCTTCTGTTTTGCGCTCCGCAACCATCCGCACATAATACTATCTTATGGTAAATAGATAAAACAATAAGACTTGCTTTTCCTTTACCATGAATTACCTTTGCCATAAATTCTTTCTTTTTTTGTTTTATTTTCTCAGTTAAAAAACTGCACCGGGAGCATATATCAGATGCTGGTGAACCAAAGCAAGTGTTTTATTAACTTTCAAATTGTTTTCAGATACTTGGTGATTAAACATTGTAAGTAGTGTATTAATAGTTTTAGCCGTTTTTTTTAAATGCGACCAATTCTTTGAATGCTTTCCTTAAAACTTGAAGAATCTCTTTCAATGCATTTTGACATACTGTACTTTCAAGTCCTTCGTTTTCCTTATTTTTACAAAGTACTTAATAGCTACCGACTTTCTAGATGAACCTACTTTCTAGATGAACCTACTTTTTTTGCTCTAAATCTTAAAGAGAAACGACAGACATATATTTCAAGATAAAGTTGTCTTGTTCAGTCTTTGTTTTCAGAGAATAGAATAGGGCATGGAACTCTTTAATATCTTATATTGTGGGCATTTAACAGCGATATGTTTATCTCGTTGAATGCTTGCATTTTGGGAAAACAGGTAATTGCAAAAACGCGTGTCTATAAAGGAGGAACAAAAACATAACCTAAATTGTTCAAATTAGAAACGTGTAACAAAAGGAATGACAAGGAAGGATGGGGGGAAATCGTGAAAAAACTGTAAAGACCTGATGGTGTTACCACATCCCAAAAGGGATTATGACTGAGGAGGAGGAATAGATTATCGTTTCAGTTTTGCTATGTTTTTCTTCCATTTTGTAGGATGAGACGGTGTCTCCCTTTTCCTTGTTCCACCGGTAAACAAAATGGTTCATTATTATCCATACTGCTATTAAATATTTAATATTTTTTGTCAAAGAAGTTTTCATTGACATTCAAGTTGACATTTTTAAATGTCAACAGAACAAAACGGTTTTAAGTCGTTCCTGTGAAGGATATTATAAGAATTGTTCAGTGACGCATACGAAATACAAATTCTAAGTTTTTATTGGTCGCCTGGACAAGCTAAGTTTTGGAATGATAGACGTGATGGATAAGGCAAGTTATGGAATGATGCTTGAACTTTCTTATGCTTTTAACGCAAGATAAAGAGAGTTTTGGACAGTTTCAAGTGGCTTAAAGTATAGTTGGTTATTATAAGGTCCTATAATCACCAGTATTTCTTTAAAAATTGGATAAGATCAGTTTTGGAATCGAGCCTCTCATTTAAGATATTAACGTAAACAACTCTCCCTTCAATCCTGACCCCCCAGGGGGAGTGTAGTGGTCGACGTGATGTCGTGTATTGTCCGTCTCCAGAGATCTCTGTCTCTGGTCATTTCTTTTAATTCATGCATAGGTCTTTGGCATATTCCTGTAATTTGATCTATCCATCTTGTTGGGGATCTTCCTCGTAATCTTCGGCCTTCTACCTTTCCTTGTATTATGAGTCTTTCCATGTTTTCTGTGTTTGCTCTCATAATATGCCCAAAATATTTTAATTGTTGGAGATGGACTTTACTAGAGAGTCGTTGGCTAACTTTTAGCTCTCTTAAAATTGAATTATTTGTTCTGCGGTCGGTCCAAGGAATTCGTAACATTCGTCTCCAACAGAACATTTCAGTGGCGTCTATCTTTCTTCTCTCCGATTGTCTCAGAGTCCAAGATTCACATCCGTAGGTCAGTATTGGGAATATTAAGCAGTTGATCAACATCATCTTTATCGCTCTTGAAATTTGAGAGTCCTTCCATATTTTGGTCATTTTTGCTGTGGCAACTTTTGCTAGATCAGATCTACGTTTAATCTCTTCTTGTAATGACCCTGTGTTTGTGATTAATGATCCCAGATATACGTATGAGCTCACAACCTCGAACCGGTCAATTGTGGTTATGTGTGGATGATTGTTGTGTAGTCTATCCACTATCATGATCTTTGTCTTTGATCTGTTTAATTGCAGACCAAATATTTGACTTTCGTTTTCGATCAGTCGTATAAGTTCTATCAGCTCTGCTTGACTATTTGCAAGAAGGGCTGTGTCATCTGCGAAACGTAGGTTGTTTAGTTTATGACCATTTATTGAGATGCCCTTTTCCTATCCTTCAAGTGCTCTTCGCATAGTATACTCTCCATATATGTTGAATAATTGTGGAGATAGTATACATCCTTGTCTGACACCCCGTTCTGGATTAAATTCGTTCGAAAGTGTGTCAAGTACTTTAACTGATCCAGTAGTGTGTTCATATAGTTCGGTTTATTGTATAACGTAACAACAACGTGTTTATAACGTAAACAATAGACCAGTGTAAATATTAGACGGATTTAAGTCAAATTATACAAAACTCTTTGCAAATAACTTCCTAAGGGTACACATGAGTAAGCACAAGAATGCACATTAAAAGTAAATAGTCAATATTAATTAGGAAAAATGATTTAATACTTAAACCAGATTTTTAAACAATTATCATTATATTATCTCGTTTTTCCTTAGCTGCATTTAATTTTGTCGCCGCATTTCTCTTCAGTTTTTTTTCTCGCGATGGTATTGTTCAGAAAAGTCATCTTAAAGGATGCAGATGTTATGATTGTGGATTACTTTGACCACTTCTTTCTTTGATTTCTTCTGACTCATTTCTGCGTATGAAAAAGAACTTCATTCTGATCAGAGTAAGGTCAGAAGTAATTTATTCTGGTTTCTTGGTGGCGTGTTAAGCTCATGATTCTAATTTTGACCATTCTCAGTATGCCCAACCTATGTCCCATACCAAATTTTTGAAGACATATATTAAAAACTACTAAACCTCTCTGGATGTCTGTTGTAGGCACGAAGTAAACTAAAGTATAAAATGAAGTATTTTTGGATAACCTATTAGGTATAAAAACGGCTTAACAATTTTTTCTGTAGGAATAGTCTTGGAGTAGACAGAGAAAAAACTTTCACCTTTATACATTGTAATATAGCAATTACGATTTTCTATACTTCACCAGGGATATTCCTTTTTTTCAATAGCCATGAGATGACACATCAAAGCGTTTTATTTTCTAACTATGAAAAGGTGAAGGCGGAAAATTATGTATTTACCTCGGCAGTATTCGGTATCTAATAAAGGACAATATAATATATGATTGTCAAGTAGCAGCAATTTATGAAACCTAAATCAGATAATACTCTTGTAATGTAGTGTCTGATGGTTTCGTGTTCCAATTGATTTGTATGTTTTACATGAAAAGATAAGAGTAGTTTGAATGTACATAATTACCCGTCGCAGTGATATAGCGGACTGTAGTTAATCATTGGTTTCTCCCACTCTTAATATAACCTTCGACGCCAGCTGTTTTATTTTCAAGAAATCACTCTTATTTTATTTTTAATTCCTTTCCGACTATTTACAGCTTTTCTGTCCAGTATTGGGCCACGTCTAATACCTTTAGTAGATTCCTTGTTTTGCTTGTCCAGACCAACCTTTAGTATTTAGATGTCTTTATTACCCACCCTACAGCTTGACCTTTCATATTAGTTTTATTTTTTTGGACATTATTTTAACAACATCCTTGTCTTATACTAATTTGGACTGGTATATCTTACCAGATTTACATTTATCCTTGTTTGCATTTAATTTTAGAAGTATCTATTTTCCATAGTTTTTATTACTATAATTAGTCTATGTACAGAACTTTTCTATGGATCAAGAATGAAATAAATAGAATATAATAAAAATAAATCAATGAAAATGATTGTTATAAAATAAACAGAAATACCTAAATAATTTAAATAAATATACAAGAGAAGCAATATTCGTTGGAATTAAAATGCGCAACATAAGATTACAACAGTCGCTGTGAATGTACGTTAATACCAGAGTCCTTAGTAGATTTATTGTGCTGTAGAGATTTATAGTAAATTAATATGTGACGGTAATGTGTATTACAAACCTGGGATTGTTTCTTCCTTGACATAACTACGTTAAATTTGAAAATCGTAATTACTTTTTCAGTCGGGATAATTGAAAGTCGAGTCAGGTTGAGTGCTTTCTTGCAGAGTTTACTGATTTTATGAATTTAATTATTTTGCATGAATAGTTGAGGTCTAAAAGAAATTTCTTGTTGTAGGTAAAGAGAGATACACCAACAAAAATTGTTTCTTATGTTAAAATTAGGTACATACGGAGAAAAAAGAATTTACTCATAATTCAACAATTTTACAACTATAATGGGTCATCAAATTATTAGAGCCTCCCAGTAAAATTTAACTTTTTGTTTAATAATGGTATGTACGTGAGCTATAAAACATATTTTTGTGTTTATTTATGTTTGATTGTGTTTTTATTTAACAGCTTACAAAGTTTGCAAATAATAAAAAAGGAATATGGAATGACGTTAAATAATTAATATACTCGGTAATATTACCCTTTGCAGCAATGACTGTGAGGCACCTTCTTGGTATACTTTATATGCAGCTCTGGCAGTTTTGTTGAATAATTTCATTCCTGTGTCATACTCCTATTAAGCGCTCTATCAGCCCACGCTTTAAGTTATTATTTCATTATACAAGTATAGTTCTGTCTTCATTAGCTTTCAAAGATCTTTTATTGAGTTCAATTTTGGCGAATTGTAAAGACATTCCATCATATCGATCAAACGTGAAGCATTTATTCAGGAACCACTCTTTAACCTAAATAACTATTGTTTTTTGCAGTACTGGTCCTGTCTCATTGTTCCTTCGACCATGCAGCGTCTACCAGTTCCTTGACTGCTTATGATAAACCACACTATGACACTTAGGGAGTGTTTCGCCGTCATTACAATACAATCCTCTTTGTATTTTCCCCAGGTCTTCTTTTCAAGAATTTAGTTTTATCGATGAGAATCTGCACGGTACATTCTTTCGAAAAACGGAGCTGGAATTCTTGAAAAACAATATTAAGTAATGTTATTTACCTGCTTCTACTTACCTATCAATGGTCTAATCTTTGTGAACTTTTTCCATTAAAGCCTTTTTTCTTCATGACTGATGTGAGGGCTTTTTTGCAGGTGGAAAATACCAGATCCTGTATTCGCTAATGAGCTTCATTGGTGAAATGTTGACACCAAACTACTGTGTTATTGTCGTTAAAATCCTGCGATATTCTTTTCTGTTTGTCAAAACAACATCGCGAATTTTTCTTTTCTGTTGACAAGTTTTTGTTTGCACCGTGAGTCCAAATCTAAATTTTCATCAAGTTTTTTGCTTATGCGGTCACAGTTGCTCTTAAAACTATAGAGATTTATGCTATATTGCTATTTAAGTGATTAGTGTTCAATAATTAAGTTTTTATTTTCTCTTTTTTACTTGGTGAGATGTCTTTAGTTACCTATGATGAAAAAGTTACAGCTCTGGTACAACTGGTATAACGAACACGCAATGTGTGCTAAATTCACAAAAACATAGTATATAGTCACAATAATAGAGGGCAATGTAAACTATTTATAATAACCTAAACAAATTTAACACTAAGAATAAACACTAAAATGTGGGCGCTTCACAGCACTGACATAAAATGGCGTCTAAATCACGTATCGTCACGCCAGGTCTGTTGCCACTTGCCAGACTTATTGCAATTACATAAAGTGTAAACCCCTTTACATGCAGCTCACTTCCGCGGCAATGAGTAGGGAAGTTGGTAGCGCCATTACTCCTGTCATGCCACTGCTGCTGTCGTAGGCTCCCTTCGTTGGCGGTTTTTTTTTAACGTAAATCAAAGGACTTGCAGTGCGAGTGACAACGACTGTTTACATGCTGCTCGCTGTCTTGTCGGTGCACGGACTTATTTGTATGGAGTGTGGAGCAGAGTGGAGCAATGACCAAGTGCTGAAGTTTTTAGAGCTATATACTAGCGGAAGATTGTTGTGGGATTCTTCACATAAAGACCACAAAAAGGCACAATGTACACGATGCGTTTTGTCCTTTAAAACGATATTAATTGCTTTACAAACTTCCTGCACAATCAACAAAATTGCTGGTGATGATACTTTAAATAAATAATGCAAACTTTGGTGACTGTCCCCAGTGTAGTCTGTTTTTTATCATGGGCTAAATTTTCTTGAGCCAAAATTCAAAATCTATGCGTGAGATTCTGCAAAAGTTAAAAAAATTTCCAGATTTCTCACAAGTCAGTTCATTGAAAAAGTTTATCATACTTCCTCTGTAAAAAAATCTTTGAAGATATTTTCAAATTATTATCCAAATAAAAATCTTTTTCGACATCGACGTTTTTTTTTCTATCTCATTTGCTTTTAAAACGTTAAGCTAATATTGTAAACTTAATACACACAGAGCTTGTAAATCTGTAATTTGTGAGCTTGTAATTACACGCAGTAATTTTCTATGCCCACCAGGGCTGGTGGTACACTGATGCAGCACTATCGTAGCTGTATGTAAACAGTCACTTGTCTTAACTAACTGCATGTAAAGGGGATATTACAACATGATAAAATGGAAACGCATGAATATGTTACATATATAGATACCCTTTTGTAAAAATGTTAAATTTTACCAGATGGTCCTAATAATTTGATCGTGCACTGTATTTGATTAAAAACAAACCATATATCTCGATGCTTATTTTGAATCTTGTTCTCTATACCAACCTAATAATGCTGCAACTTTGTGTTATTGAAATAATTGTTATTATTACTTGCGTACTCTGTAGGCTATTTAGAAGAGTAATTAAAAAATTTAAATGGTGTAAAAAAAATACCAGAATTAAAGTTAAAAATATTTATTTTATTTTAAAAAAAGAATCGGTACAAAATTTCATTAAGATTTTCGCTCGATTGGTTGTTAAGGGACAAATTTAGATTGAAAACTACTTGTATCACAATATCAAAAAATAAATCATAATAACTCTAGTGAACATGTTACTGATCTTTGTCTTCTATTGTAATGTATAGGATAAATCTGTGCATAAGTTGTTCCAATATCATTGTGTGATATATTGTTACATAAAATTTATCTTTTGTATCATTGGTGCTAAAACTGATTTCGGAAGTGGTGCTTTAATAATTATGTCATAAGTTTTTGTTTGAAAGTATTCGACAGCGTTAAAAAAATCATTCAATATTAACTAAAGTCATTGTTGAATAATTACGCCAAATGCTTTTTTAGATATTGACAGCTTTATTTTATTTATTAGCTCTAATCAGATATACTAGTTATCCATAATCATTTTTTATGTAATTTTTATAATATTTACTATTTATTTTTTATTTGCAACAATCGCTCGGATCTGGTATTGGTTTTTTATAATCCTGTCTACTTCTAATAGATTGGAGTCAACCATTCACCTTCTTCATTACTACACTACCAATATAGAGATGTTATTTCGTCGTTAAAGTTTGTAAACAAATTTGTAACCTGCAGAGGATCCACGTCTCAAAAGCTGCAGTGCAGTTTAATGTTCCAAACTGTACTAACAAGGTTTCTGTACCATATAACAGTATATACTGGACAAAACATTTAATAACTCGTTATCAGCATGTTCTATTGCAGATTACTTTTCTTTTTATTCCTGTACCTCATCCTTTAACACATTTACTACCCGTGCGAAAAGTTTGTGTCACACTAAGTGCCACGTGAATTTTTCTTATACTAAACATAATAGGAGTGAATTGGGATTTAAAGGAATGTAACTCAACACTAGACGTGTTCTTATGAATATTGTAATCAAATATTGTAAGAAGATTGATATTTATTTATTGTAGTGTGTAAATACTAAAATATAAATTTACATAAACACAAAAACAAATAGAAGTTCAGAACAAAATAAGCTGACATTGAAATAAACATAATAAAATGCATTATTTGTTTGCATGAAGTAATCTAAAGCATGGTATGAGATAAATTCCAAGGCCACCTGGGCACTGAGGGCAATAGTAAATTGAATCCTTTCGTTTCTTGCCGTCACTCCAGCAAATAGTGCATCTTATTCTTTTAGCCTTTCCGTTATCTCCGCTTGGGTAGTACTCTGGAAGGTGCTGAAGTTTTACCTATGGTATTGGAACTAGCGAGGGTTGCCCAAGCAATGCTGCGATCATGTCGACACTGACGTCACCTGACGACAGACAGTAACGGTAACCTCGCGAGGTGCGTTGTGGACAGTGAATGTGCTAAGAATATTGGCAATCATCACGATTCATTTTACTGTGTCTGCAGCAGTTCTGAAAAGTTCTGTAATTTTTCCACTCCATTGCTTTAAATTTTTCAACCAGGACTTGCGTCGTACTCTTCTTCTGTCGTCCCGGTACTCTTTTTCCTTCCACTTTCCCTTGTGTAGCCAATCTCGTCAACTCATAGGTTTTATTTATTAGAATGTGACCAAAGTAGCTTATTTTTCTTTTCTTCGTAGTTTTGAGAATTCTTTTTCCTCTTTTTTAATATTTTCGTGTTTTTTTTCCATGAAATTTTCCACATTCTTTAATAACACTACATCTCAAAGCCTTTTTTTACTTACGTCCGTTATTATCCAGACTTCAACTCCATATAAAACGGTAGAGAATACGTAGTATCTCAATACTCTAGTTCTAATTTATATTCCTACTTTTCCATTGGATAATACTTGTTATCTACAAAACAATATTTCTTTTCATGTACCATGAACAATATCTCAATTACCACCATTATTTTATTATGTATTATATCTCACCACAAAAGCTAACATCTGTCTTTCACATGAAAAGCACGGATAACTCAAAACGCGTAAATTCTCTGTCGCTATTTATACAATAGTGAGGTGATGTATTTTAGCCTTGAAGGTAGCAGGAACGATAAGAATCCCAGTGCGCTAGTTTTTAACCCTTTAAGCCCAGATTTTTTATTCAAAGGTCAAATATTTTTGATATTTTCTTTAATTGGACACCTAAATACTACTGAAAATATTTTTTATAAAATTTTTGACCCCCACTTTTCATTTTACAAATTGGTAGTAACTGCCACCAAGAGGTTATTAAGGCATAAATAAACATAAAATTATATATAATATTTTATTACAGAAAAAGGGTGTATAAAAATATATGATGTTTTATTGACGTCTTGTATGATAACTTTGGAAACAATTTCTGTCTTTCAACACTTTTCACACATCGTGCGTGATCTTCCGCTGCATCCTTGAAAACCGCAACGTTGTACGTGACCTTTTGTAGGAATTGGCCAGTGAGAAATTTCATCATATCTCACTTCGCTGACAGGTTGTTGCTATTTCATTCGTTTGGAAACTAAAGCTTCTGCAACCTAAAACGTGAATTCCAATAAATCTATTTTCTTATTTTTAAGTTTATTTATTGCCACGACGATACTTCAACCATGACTTACACACTGCCACATTGAAATAGTAATATTACCCTAGAGTACACTTCTTACTTCTAATAAACGTTCTATAAAGTGATACAAGGAAATCATTTTTATCCACGCCGCCCATACTTTGATTGTAATGTTTAATCACTGCTGGTTATTCAACTTGTACATATGTTTTTGTTTTTTTATCCCAACGTTTGACCCTATCAGTAGGTTCTAAGCCTATCAAATGTGAGGCCATATTTACGACCTATCGAACCATCTAACTGCAACAGTATTTTGATCGGAAGTAATTTTCGAGTCTGAACTTCAGTGCTTTTTCGGAATGAAGTGTACAGTTTCCCATGCGATTTTGTCTAATAGTACCAGAAGCAAATATTACTCTCGTGTGAAGTAATTTTAGATATTCCATTTAATTGAAATAATTATCAAAGTAGAGCTTATATCCCGGATTATCTGGCAATCTTTGTGATAAATACAGAACAAGTGAAGTTGTAGCTTTGTGGTTCATTTCTACAGACATAGGTAATGTATATTATTCCTGATTAACCACAAAAATTAAAGAATTATGTCCCAAGAGTTTGGTTTGCCTCTACTATACTGTTTTAGAGAAAATTGTCCCTTGAATGGTATAATTGTCTCGTCTATGTAGTTATTTTCTTCAAACATTAATTCTTCGCAACCTTTTTCAAAGCTGGTAATTATTTTCCTCACTTTCCAAAGTTTATCATTGGTATTCTTGTCGGTGTTGACATCTGAGATATATAAATGATAACGTAAACTTTCAAATTGGTTTCGGGACATACCGATATCTTTAATCAAACGCAATTGTGTACTGGGAGCCCTATAAAGTCTTAGCCTAGTAAAATTAATAATTCCCATTACAATGTGCAGGGCAACCAGACGGCGTATCTCATTTTCGTCAGTACTGAGACTTTTACCATTCTTGTAAACAGAATAAGAATTTGCTTTTTTAGATAGCTCCTTGAATATTTCGGGTGACTGTGACTTTCATCATAACTAAAATAACTTTCACTTGATCTATCGAAAATACCATTTGGAGGTACAAATTTTCCAGTCTTCCAGATAGTTTTTTGTTTTTCCGCTTTTTTAGTCTTTTGAGGAATTTCTTCTTTTTCTAATGCTACTTCATCCTCATCTGATGTTGACATATCAGCCTCTTCATAATCTGGATCTTCATCATCTTCTATATCAGAACAGTCATCATTCGGGGCAGCTAATGCTTCTTCTGCTTGGACAAGGGTCACATCAACTTCAGTTTTCCCTTTCCCGTAAAATACAATTGTAGGAATCTCATCTGAAAAGAATTCATTGTTTAAAATCTTGTTATAAATTCTAATCTATTTAATCCACTTTTGTAACCGTTAACACCTACTGGTGGCATTTGCGTACGCGTTTTATATGACCATACCAAATATTATCAAATCCAGAAACAATTACAATTTGTTCTTAAATGAACTTTTCATAATGTTAGTTAGTAAATACCAACAGCTACATACAGTTTTTTTCAACACAATAGCCATATTAGAACAAAAACACAAATACTTACCAAGTGAAAAAGGATCAAATTCACCAGCCATTACTTCAAGTAGACCAACAAAACCTGTTTACATTCCAAATGACTCAAATACATATAAATCATCTTATATAGGGACTGTAGCCGCCCTCTATTAGAATTATGTTGAAATGACATAAGTCATATTACAGATATCTGAGCCAAAATGTAGGCTTCGTAATTTCCACCATCAGGGCCGAAAGGGTTGAAATATCTATCTAATTAGCCATCTTCGGTTCATCTTTGGACATGGGCCTCCCCAATTCTTTTCCATCCTTCTCTGTCTGTCGCTGCAGTCATCCACCTAGGACCCACGTGCTTCTTGATATCATATGGCCATCTCGTTTGGGGCCTTCCTCTGCTTCGTTTATATTCCCACGGTCTCCAACTTGTAAGAATTTTGTTCCATCGGTCTTCTTTTTGTCTTATATTGTGTCCGGCAAATCTCCATTTCAATTTTGCAACTTCTTGTCTAACATCCCTCACTTTTGTTTTCTGTCTTATCCATTCGTTTCTCTTCTTATCCATTAGTCTTATGTGCAACATTTGTCTTTCCATTGCTCTTTGGGTTTTTATGATTTTGTCCATGTTTTCAAAGTATACTTTGGTCTAAGATGCTGTGGATATCTTTTGTTTTTAAGAATGTAGCTTAGTTTGGCAAATGCCTCCCATGCCAGTCTAACTCGTCTTTTTATCTCTGCTGTTTGGTTTTCTTTGTTAAGTTTTATTGTTTGACCCAGATATATATATATATATATATATATATATATTATATATATATATATATATATATATGTATATATATATATATATATATATATATATATGTATATATATATATATATATATATATATATATATATATATATATTTATAATCCTGAACTTCTATTTCATCTTGTCCAATTCTCATTGTGATGTCTTCTGTATTCTGTATTTGTTATTGTTATTGTGTACTCTGTATTGATCTGTATTTGTTATGGTTTTGGTCTTACTATAATTCATATTAAGGCCTATCTTTCCAGCTTCTACGTCCAGTTCTTTCATCATTTCAAATAATTCTTCTTTTTTGTCATCAGCGTACCTTAGATAGTTTAAACGTTGTCCACAAATTTTTGTACCTTTTCTTCCCATTCTAATCTTTTACAAGTATCTTCCAGGTTAAAATATATCCGACAATAATTATTATAGACGGTCTCACGGACCGGCAAAAGTTAATGCACTGTCACGTTTGTTTAGGCAGGGGAAATGAAAATACCAGAAAATTAGGTGTTGGTAAAACCTTATCTAAAGTAAGTGAAAATTTTTTATACTTCGATAATTCATTTTCCACAATACTTATATTTTGTAAGTTTTCATTTGTTAATTCTCAATAATACAGGTAATACAATTTATTAAAGTTTCTTTTAGTAAATAAATAACAATTTTCTCATGGTGTTTGAAAATCCAGCGCTTAACTCAACTCAATCATGTATAAAGTCATGTCTGTCACATCTAGTTCATAAGAAAAACGTATCTGTTCCTTAAGAAAAAATGTTGTTTGCATAATGTATATCACGTTAATATCAAACCGTGGCAGAATGTATCGAGGAAAAATAATGCAAGATTTTGATATGTATCTTTCATTGACGTGTATATCAGTGTTGCAGATTGACGCTTTTAACAAGTGAATGGTTTGGATCTAAAAGCAGCAAATACCATGTTAGGAAACGTATAAATGCATTCTGATATTTTACATAAATTTGCGTTCATTACAACAGAACAAACAGAACTAATCTTAAGTTCAGTAATATTTTGTGAGGGGTAACATTTTCTGTGTTGTTTTTTCTACATTAAATGTGATCTCAAGTGACCTCAATTAAAATTAATGAATTCCTATACATAATAACAGTAGAATATATTGCATTAGGTTATGTGGTGCCTTTATAAGGATATATTTAAGATTTATGTTTGTAAATTAAAAAAAAACAATATTTAAAAAAAATCCAAAAATTTTCATCTGAAACTGATAGAAGCAGGTTTAAACTTCAATTTAGGCACTTGATGATTTCAAAAATAATTTTTTTTCGTTGTGTTTTTTCTTCCTGATGTGCCTATCCGTTACGAATGTTGACTATCATCATGCCAATCTTTATCTTAGCTGCAGCAGCGCGTAAAGCTGCACAGATGTATTTAACCAGCTTCTGAGGTTCTTTAACCAAGATGTTCTTCTTCTTCCTGGACTTCTCTTTCCAAATATGTTTCCTTGCAGGATAGCTTGAAAGAGAGCATATCTGGATTCATTTCTCTTAATATGTCCAAAGAATTGTAACTTTCGAGATTTAATGGTGGTCAGTACCTCTCCGTTCTTATTTAATCTTCTGAGGACCTGCTCATTTATGACTTGGTCAGTTCACGGGATCTTAAGTATTCTCCGATATAGCCACATCTCAAATGCTTCCAGTTTTCTGCACATATCTTCGTTCAAGGTCCACGATTTAACACCATAGAAAAGGTCAGAGAAGACGTAGCATCGCAGCATTCTTACTTTTGTATCAAGAGAGAGGTTGTGACTCTTAAAGAAAGCCCCCATCCGATTGAAGGTGCGTCACTCTTTCTACAGGGGATTGGTTTACCTAGAGTTGACCTTCTGTTAGCCTGTTCTTGATAATTATTTTTTTTTCTTAAAGTTGATATTGAGTCCATATTGTTGACTGTAATACGTGATTTTGTTTATAAGAACTTGTAGGTCTTCTTAGTTGTCCGCAAATACTATGGTGTCATCTGCATATCTGATATTGTTTGGCTGGTAACCATTTAGTAGAATACCTTCTTCAGTTTCGTACAAAGCTTCGATAAATATTCTTTCAGAGTACAGATTGAAGATTAGAGGAGACAAAATACAGCTTTGCCTCACTCCACGCATGATTTTCACATAGTCAGTGTATTCTCCTTCAACTCTGCGATTTGCTGTCTGATTCCAGTAAAGATATCTAATTATTTTCAGATCTTGGTTGTTAATACCTGCTTCTTTTAGTATTTACATCATCTTGGCGTGCTGTACTCGATCAAACGCTTTCTTGTAATGAACCAGACATGCGTATACGTCGCAGTTGACGTATCTGCATCTTTGGAATAAGACTTATACTGAGATCAAAGCCTCTCTAGTACCAACAGCATTTGTGAACCCGAACTGGTTGGGAGAAATTTGTTTTTGACACAGCTTGTAGATTTTTTCATGAATTATCTTTAGGAAAAATTTTATGAGATGACTCATGAGGCTTATAATACGGTAATTTTCGCATTTTTTGGCTCTGCTTTTTTTAGAAATGCAATATGCAATAAACTCAGATTTCAGCCATTCTGTTGATATTTCTCCAAACTTATATGCTGTTGAATAACTTTGCGATTATTGCTATTGATTTTTTGTCTATTAGTTTGAGTAGTTCTGCTTGTATATTATCAGGGCGTGCCGCGTTGCATTTAATCCTTTAACTGTTTTATTGCGGAATAAACTTCCTGCTGTAATATTCTTTGTTCATCATTTACCTCTTCTAACTAAAAGGTTTTATCTCTTTCGTCTTCAAATAGTTTTTCTAGATATTCTTTCCACGTTCTTATTTTACTCTGTTTGTCCAAGATGATGTTTCCGTCAGAATTAGTTATATTTCCTTTCTGCCTTCGTCTTATAGTGTGAGTTTTTTAACTTTCCTATGTACATTGTGACTATCGTACTTTGACTGCAGAGTCTCAATTTCTTCGCATCTTTCCATTACTTCTTTTTCTTTCGCTTCTCTGATTTTCGTTCTTATTAATATATTTATGGTTTTATATTTGTCTGAGTCATTTTTGGTTCTCTTCTCGCGTCCATTAGTTTACTTTATTAATCTACCTGTCTTGAAGTGTTTATCTTTTACATTTTCACTATTTCTCTAATATGCTTGATCGTTTGTTCTTCGTTCGATTCGTCTCTAATTTCAGTAACTTGCTCGTTTAACGTGGCTTGGACTCTCATCCTCGTATCAAGGTCTTTCAGCATACGTAGGTCGTATGATTGTGCTTTCCTTTTCTGCACGCTTTTGAGTTTGACTCGAAATACTCCCACCAGTGGAACGTGATCTGTCTCCAAGTATGCTCCAGGATAAGTCGTGACAGATATAAAGCTGTTTCAGAATCTTTTATTTACTAATATGTAGTCTATTTAATTCCTAATAATTCTCTCCGGTCTGTCTTGAGGGTATTTCCACGTACACAGCTTGAGAGGTGGTAATTGGAAAAATGTGTTGGTGATAACTAGTTCTGAGTCTTCTGCGAATTTTTCTAGGAGGTCTCATCTCTCATTTCTGAGTCCAAGTCCATGTACACCAATGTACTGTGTCTTATTTCCAGCTCCAATCTTGGCATTAAAATCACCCATTGTTTTTTGAGAATTCCGAAAACTGTTAGTTTCAGTTTTAAATTGTTTATTGAACTTGAAAAAGAAAAAAATACAAGAGATCTTTTCTGTTCAGAATGATCCAAAAAATATAAATACATTATTTAAGCAAAAAGTTGATTTTTACAATTTAAAAAAAAAATGTTTAAATAAATTAAGACCGCTTTTCGCATGGGCAACTTCTTGAACCTTATTCTGGGGTGTCCCACTAAAGAGATTATGGAAAAATATGTCATGGAAATATTTTTTCGAACGAATCAATCTAACCAATCTAATGAAAACACCCCAACACCATATAAACGTATATTAAATGATAAAATTATAGGACTGAGCGTATTATTGTTTGAACTTTGATATTGATAGATTACAGATATACACTTTTTTAATAAAATTGAACTTTTACTGCTGAAAATATAGAATTTATCATTTTATACAATAAATTTAAATTTCTTTAAATTTTTAAATTTTGTTTAAGGATATTAAAAATACAATACTAAGAAATAAATTTTATGCTGTCGATACTATAGCGAATAAAAACTTAAAATTACTAAAATGTATCGTTACCTCTAATTTTATTTATTATTTTCTTGTAAATATGTTTAAGAAATTATCCGAATTTATATAAAAATCTATATATTTCCACCTTTGTATATAAAAAAAGTTTAATATTGATATTTTGGAAAACTTTTTTACACTAATTGTTGTATATAAAATTTTACATGATATATGTGCATTCCTATTGTAGATTTTAAGGACATTTTTGGAACAGGTGCCAGTAGAAAGGTCAAAGCTGAATTTGAAATCCAAATAAAAGGAAAATACTCAAAATGTGATCCGTGTGGTTTTTATATAAGGCTGTTGCCAACGTTATATGTAATACTCGTATTATGTTTCTATATCTTTTATTGCATTTAATTTGGATAAAATAAACTGTTCATGTATTCGCGTTTTAAGCTATAGTTTATAGAACTGATTAAAATGCAGTAATAGTCATAAAATATATCACTAAGTACATTTTAAAACGAAAATATGCAATAAAGTGTGGTAAGAAATAACATTTATGGAGCGGAGAAGCTTATAAGATAATTGTGAAATACGAAAAGAAAATTAAAGACAAATTCTGATAATTTTATTTTATTATTTTATTTAAATATTTTATTTGTATATTTAAATACACTAGCCCGAGATAACTAAGAGCTGCAAGGTGTTATAACTATTTTATTAACAATGATAATACAATTTCTGCGTTAAGTACCGTTTCTCTTCGTAATTATTTTTATAGTTGAGAGACGTACTGATAGAACATCCAGTTGTTTATGCTGCCAGAGGCCTCTTCCAGTAGGACAGTTTGACAATGAACAAAGGTTATGTCCTGCCAGAAGAACTCAACGATTTTTGTATAATCTGCCCTTCCAGCAAAATTTAAAAGATTCCAGCAGTACAACGGCATTCCATCAGTTGCTTCGATATCGGTTTTAACGCAGTCAGGTTTTTTAAGAACAGAAATATTTACTAAATCATGTAAAATCTTTTTAAAAAATAAACGGTAGACTTCACGTCCGACAAAATGTTTCAGTTAAAAAAAATATACGGAAATAAAATGAAAATTTAAATAAACGAAAAAGTTATTGAGTAGACAAAATATTGCGAATACTATGGACTGAACTTCTTTTAGAATGAAAACTTAACGATTTCTTTTGGATGAAATTTCATGTAAAAAATGGTATGCGAAACAATTGCGACCTGTCGTTGAAGCACATTCTTTTTCTTGATGTGCCTATCCGTTACGAATGTTGGAGATCATCATGGCAATCGTTATCTAATCTGCAGCAGCGCAGAAAAGCTGCAGAGATGTTGTATTGAACTGGATTCTGAGGTTCTTTAACCAAGATGTTCTTCTTCCTGGACCTCGTTTTCCAAATATTTTTTCTTGCAGGATGGCTTTAAGGAGAGCATATCTGGATTCATTTCGCATAATATGTCGGAAGCACTGTAACTTTCGAGATTTTATGGCAGTCAGTTCCTCTCGGTTCTTATTCGTTCTTCTGAGGACATTTGTGACTCGGTCAGTCCACGGCATCTTAAACATTCTCCGATATAGCCACATCTTAAATGCTTCCAATTTTCTCCACATACCTTCGTTCAAGGTCCACGATTCAACACTATAAAAAAGATGCTGATATCCTTTTCTTAATAATTATCATTAGCTTTATCTTCTTAACGTTTATGTTGAGTCCATATTGTTGACTGTAATACGTGATTTTGTTTATAAGAACTTGTAGGTCTTCTTAGTTGTCCGCAAATACTATGGTGTCATCTACATATCTGATGTTGTTTAGCCGGTAACCATTTAGTAAATACCTTTTTCAGTTTCGTATAAAGCTTCGATAAATATTCTTTCAAAGTACAAATTGAAGATTAGAGGAGACAAAATACAGCCTTGCCTCACTCCACGCATGATTTTCACATAGTCAATGTGTTCACCTTCAACTCTGAGAATAGCTGTCTGATTCCAGTAAAGATTTTGTAGTTATTTATTAGCTAATTATTTTCCAGATCTTGGTTGGTAATTCCTGTTTCTTTTAGTATTTGCATCTTCTTGGCGTGCTGTACGCGATTAAACGTTTTCTCGTTATTAACCAGACATGCGTATACGTCGCAGTTGACGTCTCTGCATCTCTGGAATAAGACTTGACTTTCACACAACTTGTAGATTCTCTTATGAATTATCTTTAGGAACAATTTTAGGAGATGAGTCATGAAGCTCTTAGTACGGTAATCTTCGCATTTTTTTTAAGCACGTAACATCGGTTAAATTACACAGTTTTCCAAAAAAACTTGATTTTTGTTGTTTATTCTACACATTTTCTTTATACTCTTTGTTTATCACTTTCGCTGCTCAATGCTTTCAATACATGGTTGAGGCTATTTTCATTGCTATTAGGTATTGGAGTAGGTCTGGCCACGCATTTCTTATTAGTTGTAATCCAAATTTCTTTTTAAAAGACTCATGCGAGTCCAAGTTTTTTTTACCTAGGTATCTATAAGCTAAGAGAGAATTAGTTATTATAATTCCATGCAGTGAGGTGTGTATTAGGTGTTTCCAATTCTGTGTGTTTCAAACTTGTTCCAATACTAAATCTGACTGTCGTATATGGTTGTGGATATCAATATCTAGAGCGCCATCAAAATGCTATTTGATCAATTTAATCCTGGATACTTCTTTTACGTAAGAAATTCCATTTTCATTATTAATGCGTTTTTTCTTGGCATGTTCACCTTCAATTGTGGTACCATAGCTGCCAATAAAAGTATGGATTTTTTCCTCTCCTGATAGATTACTAACTTCGTTAGTATCTTCACCCTATACTTACTAAATTCACATTATTAACTGTTGCGGTAGCATAAACAGTGCCCCCGACATTTTCCGAGCATTTTTCCTTTATAGTCTTTAACGGATATTGCTTGGTAGCTGTTTTTACAATATCCAAAAAATGCATACCTCGTTTATGTAGTTCGACTGCCGTTTTCACTGAAGCAAACCAAATATTTCCAACGATTATACAGCCAGACCCACACTATAGTTCTGTCAAACGTAGAGTGATAGCAGTTCCCATTGCCACCACTACATAATTCTTTTTGCCATTTCTTTTTAGCCATATGTTCTTTGTCACTTTACCTTCGTTAATTTCAAGACGCAGCATAATAAGGAAATGAGCATCAGCATGAGTTTTACATTCACAACTTACACCTTTAAACTTTCTTCTTATCTTAATAACAGCTGGCATTCCATCAAGATCATAATTAACCATTCCGTACTAACACAACATTGATTCGTCTACAAATAATTTATACCAGGAGTCAAATATATCATTCCATTTTATATGAACCATGTCCAAAAAAGATTTAATAGTGTTGCACTTGTTCTCATTTTCAATAGTTTCTACGGAAAATACTAAAGCTTGCAAAATTTCTTTAAACCTATGGTAACCAATATCAAATATTTTGCCAAAGGCTGAAGCAGGTTCATTTTTCAAAGACCATTTCGAGACCATATAATTATTTTAAAAAATTCACTTTTTGTACATTCCTTTTTGGTTGGACCTAAATTTTTATGTGTCGCTTCTAATATTTCAGACATATTTTCTATAGTAAAAAATAACAGAAAAAAAAACTAATTTTGTCATGTTTTGAACTTTGTCAGTATTTAATTTGGGTTTATATTTAGTGTTATACTGATCTATACTTTTTTTATTCCACAAATTCCAAGATGTATCATGCGCATTTACTATGTTACTGCCAATAACATTGTTAACTTGGGTCACATGTTATGCCGTATCAACGTCACTTGAACTTTTTATCTTTACTATCGCTTGAGGAAGATGAAAAAACTTTTTAATCAATTATGCTACATTGATTATTAGAAGTATTTTGCACGTTTTTTTTTGCAAGTATTTGTTGATTTTATTGTACTACGCTTAGGGACGTCTATTCGTTTTCTTTTCCCTTTCTGACCTACAAAAATGTAGATTACTTGCCTTTATTCTTCATTAACAAATTTAGTTTAATTAGCATTTCACTGTAATCTATATCCCAAAAATTAATTCTAGCGTCATCTAAAATGGACTTTATAATGCCATGGCATACTGCAGAATTGAATTTCAGTCCAAAAACAGCAATACTTTAGGAGTTATTGCTACTCTGTTTATCAAATAACGTGGCTTTGCCAAAAACACGGTCACCGATCTTAAAATTTATGTTTTCGCTAAACTTCTACGCTTACTCTAAGTGGTTACACCTATGATACCTATGATAGATGCGTACCCCTCCTCTAAAATACGTCAACTGCCATTCTTCTTCTTAGGATGCCTGCCCGTTCCAAACGTTGTCGATTATTATGGCTAGGATGACTTTGCTGGATGCTATACGAAATAGCTGTGTTAGGGTCTTTCTATACCATGCTCTCAGGTTAGCAAGCCAAGATAATCTTCTTCGTCCTGGAGCCCTGTTTTCTTCAATTTTAATTTGCAAAATTCACTGAAATAGCCTGAAGTTTTGATAGAGCTTCTGCCTTCAATGTCCACGTTTCTATTCTGTACAGAAGCACTGAGTACACGTAACATTTAAGGAGCCTTATTTTTGTTTCTAGGATGAGGTCATGGCTCTTGAACACAGAGCTCGTAGTCAAGAATGCACTTTTTACCTTTCCGATGCGACATTTAATCTCTTGGGTATTGTCCCACGACTCATTGATTATAGTTCCCAAGTAGTTGTATTGTGAGACACGTTCAATTCTCATTTGGTTAACATACAGATTTGCTCCAGTTATGTTTTCTTTGTTGGAAATCATTAGCTTGGTTTTGCTGGTGTTTATATCCAGTCCATATGTTCTACTTGTTTCCTTTATTTTGTTCATTAAGTTTTGCAGCCCTTCTATGGTATTGGAAAACACTATTGTACCATCTGCATACCGCAGGTTATTGAGCTCGACTCCATTTATTGAAATGCCTTTATCAATATCTTTTGGGTCTCTTCAAAAATGTGCTCCGAGTGCAGATTGAATACTGTCATAACATTGTTAATACCGATACTAGAAAGTCGAGACTTGTGAATTAGATAGACAAAATTTCTTGACGAATCCACCGGTACAACTTTTATCATGCGAGCGTCATATTTATTATATACAAACTTTTTTAAAGGCGTCCTGCTAGGACAACATAAGACATTTTGACCTGCCGGAAATACTTCTGGACGTTGTATCATTCAACCTTAAAATTAGATTAGGTTAAAAATAATTATTATTTAGTGGTATCTACATAAATACCTGCTATAGAAATGATCTTTTTGTAAATACATTATAAATTACTTTTGCGTTTGATGGTTTATCACTTGTCGTTTTCGCACATTTTCCATATTTTTATCACAACGTTACAACACTATATAAAAACAACCGACAAATTAAATGAAGTTATGCATACTTTTTAAAATGTTGCCACTGCGCACCCAGAACTCGCGTCTGTTCACTTTCTTGGGCTAGTGTACTTAATCAGGAATCGTAAGACCAACAAAATGCATGTTTTCAAAACATATTTTATATATCAACTTAACGTTGTATTTCAAGAAATAAACATTATAGTATAAATACGTTTATAAAACATTGTAGACTATGTAAAAATTATTAAAGGAATATAAAAAAAAATTAAATTACCATCATTAACCATTAAGAGCGTTATAAACTAATAAAATGTATACCATGTCTGTGTACGGATCACATTTTAGTATTTTTTTAATGCTAAAAACCCCTTCTTAGTAATAAAACACTTACCTCTTATGAGAGGTAGATAGTAATTAATATTTTTATAGTTCATTGTATAATGTTTTGTTAAGTTTATATAGATATATTATTGTAATAGCTTTATACACTATAAAATATCCAATTCTGCCTCGAAAGACACTTTTTGTATTATGAGATATTTTTTAGTTACAGGATTATTTAGATTCTAATATCTACATTAGTTCTAAATTGCTTACAAATGTTTTTCGAGAAGAATGTTCAGTTATGCAGCCATGTTCCTTTTTGTACGAGCACGAGGAAATTAAAATAAGAACAAATTAATATCAGTTTTGACAAAAGCGTATGAAGAGTATTATCTGAGTAAAAGTGATCATGAGTTCATGCAAAAGTTCTTTTCCTCATCAATCCCACAGGCATCAGCCCTATTATATAAAATGAATACTTATTAAAATTTAAGAAACGGCTAGGGCGTTAGAAGCGTTTTGCGAAATCAATTATAATCAAAATTTATTTTGTATATATATATATATATATATATATATATATATATATATATATATATATACAAAATACATTTTGATTATAATTGATTTCCCAAAACGCAATATATATATATATATATATATATATATATATATATATATATATATATATTATGAAAATTACTAAGTTCCCGGGAAGAACCGCGTTAAGAATTTAATACTCGACGTTTTGACACCCATTTTGGAGCCATTATCAAGAAAGCAGAATGGACATATTAGCAGAATGGAGTAGAGACTAGTTGAAAAATAAAAAAAATTAATATATGGAGTGCTAGGGAGCCTAATGTAATTTCTACAACCCTTATAACTAGTTTAGATTATATTTTAATGTTTTGAACATATTTTGAACATTTTATTTGTATATCACCATATCGTGTTTGATATTCCCCTTGTACTCTTTTCAGGTAAATTGTACTCAGCAATACTTCGCATTATATGATTATCATCCCGGCATTGAACGTGACGTAATTATCTTATCCTAAAATTTGAACACATTTTTTATTGCTCCATTCTTTGTTTTGAGAACAATATCGTTGACATATGCTATTACTTGTTCTTCTCTCATTTTAGATGCCCATTTGTTGATTTTCCTGACTACGTATTTGAAGGCAAGATTAAAAAAGAAAACTGAATATGTATCTCCCTGTCTAATCTCTGTCTATTACAAATTCTTTCATTTCTGCTTTCTGGATTTAATATTTACTACTGTTCTTTTTATTGACATTATCCAAAGTTACCACCTATGAACAACTTTATCTTCAAGTAAACGGTAAAATATTCTGTTTTGTCTGATCAAGTGTTAGATTTTTTTCAAGACTCTGCCTGTTCTGTTCCAACCTTTGCAATAATTATCTTTCAGATTTTCCTATCAACACTACATCTTCAGCAATCAATAAAGACTATGTAATGTCTGACGTCTGTCACCTTGAAATTATCTGTTATCTGATGCAGTATTATTGAGAATAGCTAATTACTGAATGCTCATCCATATCATAGTTTTATAAATTTCATTCTTTCATACACCCGTCCTAAGACTCTTGTCACCTCACCATCTGTGTCACAATAAAAAAAGGTCCTTAAGTGCGAAAATGTATTCGAAGAGTACAGGGGGAAAACGATCGAAGTCGCATTTAAATAGTTTTGAGATATTCCTAATTAAAGATTAAAAACGTAAAGAAGTGGTGATGACAGAAATAAAAACGATTTTTTTATCTAAACTCACTGCAATGGATACAAAAAGTAATATTAACAAAAACAGCTTTTATATTTTAGTTCTAAATTACACAAAAGAAAAATTAATAAAAATGTAATGTCATAAAAATGTGTGGAAAAACCGATCTAAGTCCAGTTCTGGCTAAAGTGCCTGCAAATGTGTGGAAAACCCGATCTAAGTCCAATTCTGGTTAAAGTGCCTGCAAATAAAAGAAGAGTTAGTGTACTATAATACATACAAGCAATTTTGAAGTACACAGATTTTTATTTACTTCCTTGAAATTTGGAAGAATTATAACCTTTCGCCTTCTGCAAGTTATACTTACATCAAATTCATCATCACTTTAGTTTACTTCAACTACTGGCAAATTATCATAAAATTATTGTAATTCCTCTGAAATAAATATTATAAGTTTCTGGAGCTGCTTATGCAACCAATTACATCAAAAGTTGTTGGTTTTGATCTTGCCGCTTTAAACACGTTATTCCACTGCTCAGGAACTTCCCCTCCAGCTTTTTGATTAATCAATCCAAGATCCTTGTCGCATTCGAAGTATGACTACCCCCACATTGGAAATACGACACGGATAGAGTCCAACCGTTTCTTTACATGAATTAAGTGGTTTAAGAATCTAATTAATGTATAATTTTATTTTGACCAGCGCATGAGTTGCAAAATATGCGAAGGTGTCTTGTAGACTGAGAATTTTTGTACAAAAATTATATAGCTTAGACCTAACATCATCAGCACCTTTCTTTGCGATGGTTTGTGGGTATTTGTAAAAAACAGATCGATTCGTAGGTACATGTACGTTAAAACTCAAGAAAGTAAGCTATCTTATAAAATAACATCAGTAGTTGGCATGTAACATTACCATAAACGATCATAATTTTGAGGTGATCAAAGAATTCAAATACCTAGGAGCAACAATTACCAGTGAAAACACAGGAGAACGGGAGGTTGAAATACGAATACTGGCGGGGAATAAATCATTCTTTGCCATTCAACATCTAATGAGGTCAAAGCTTCTCTCAAGGCGTGCCAAAATCCAAATGTACAAAACCATAATACGACCAGCAGTGACATATGGAAGTGAAACATGGACATTGAGAAAGAAAGAAATCAATAAGCTATTAGTATGGGAACGCAAAATCCTGCGAATTATATATGGTCCTTGCAGGGACAGCGTGACAAATGAATGGAGGAGCAGATACAACAATGAAATAGAGACTCTCTTCGGGAAAGGAAACATCGTAAGATACATAAAAGCCAATAGATTAAGATGGGCAGGCGACGTGGTACGGAGTGATGACGACAGACTGATTAGCAATGTGTTTTGGGAAAGACCAGATGGTAGAAGATCGACAGGAAGACCTAGAAAAAGGTGGAAAGACGCAGTCAGGGAAGAGCTGGAGAAGATGGAAGTAAGGCCATGGAAAATAATAGCATAGGATCGGAATCAATGGAAGGCAATAGTAAACGCAGCAAAAACTCACGAAGAGTTGTAAAAGCCAATGATGCTGATGAGTAGTTGGCATGTTAGGCGTTAGAAAGTTTTTTGCAAAATCCATAGTAACTGCTTCGTAATCCGTGCGCTTTCTCGCTGTTTTCGTTTCTGTCCGTTTTATACTGTAAAATGCTTGTGATTTTAGCTTATATAACTTGTCAACAGTTTCTATTTTTTTCATTTCTAATAATAATTTACCTTCCTGTTCTTTTCCACGTGATGAAATTAATTGAGATCCAAAAATTCAATTTTTACTTTTGCTGCATCACATGTGCTACATGTATCAGATCGTGGGTAACCAAAACCAATATTAAAATCTTTCAGAAAAATATTTCTGTAAGTTTCATAGCTCACTGTTTTATGTGGCAGATTCTCATGTATCAACATCTTATACATTTTTGTAATGTTTAGTGTTTCTGGAAGATATACTCTTCTCGTATTTTTTAGACTGTAATGTGACTTTGGCCCTTTAAAGCTTGAGATATGACTATTGATTTTGCCCAAACTTTCTTCAGTAACATTGTGAGAACGGTTTGTGTGCTTTGCCCTTTTATCATGTCATACACCTCTTTATCTTTGAGGTATTTTTTGAAGGTTATCAGTCAATTTGTAATTCCATTTAAATTAATAAAAGCTGTTTGACTTACTTGAATTTCCTTAAACTGCTGTTCTTTCTTGTCAAAAAGCCTTACTTTATGCTTAAAAGCGTTCTCTCGTAAATTTGCTGATGCTTCAGGTCTTCTTGAACGCCTTCTTTGTACATTATTTATGACAATAAGGCCACATATATGATAGTTTAGTTCATTTCTGTCGCACATTAAATTGAAATTGTTAATTAAATCACGTGTCTGCATATTAGTAACTACGTCAAAACACTCGAACCTTTTACTGTTATATGATTCACCAATTTCATGAGTGTAGTTTCTAATTTTCTTAGCTGCATCGTTAATACGACTGAAACATTTTCATTTACACGATTTATTTATTGATATTTTGCCAAAATTTCTCTAGATTTCCCTAACAACTTGACAACCATATTTAGCCTAGAATGAACCACCTAAGTCTGACGTCATAATGAGCGGGGTTTCCAAACCTTTCCAAACATTTCTAATTTGTGTGTATTGGTCATATAAGAATTTGGAAATATTGGTTTTTTAATTGTTTGTAGAATAAATAAGGACTTTGGGTTATGAACATTCATTCATTTAGTGAATTTGTGAGGTAAGAATATCAAAGTATCAAGATATTTTAGCCCAAGTGGATCCCCGACGTAATTCGCCCTTTGTAAAATACCACCACTCTAGTCACCGACGGGGAATCACATGAACAGTTAGAGAAAAAGAAACTAGAAACCAAAAATCGCCCGAGGCCATTATATACTTTAGCTGAGGTGGATCCCCGACGTAATTCTCAGCTGGTGAAATTTCACTACTCAAGTCTCCGACGGGAAATCGCATGAACAGAATTCAGTGATTCCCCGAATAATAAGATTTCCAAGTAGATGATATATGTGCAATTTTGGAAAGTTTATTAACCCGGCGTGACATACGTGGATTTTTCTGTCATTAGTACATATGTGGGGTGTGACAAACCCCAATTTCTAAGAAAATCAGAATTTTTTCTGGCAGCTTTTTTATATATTTTTTAATTTCATGGTCTGAAGTGATCATCTAAGGACTATTTAAGCAAAAAAGAAATAATCAGAACACCTTTATTTAAAAGAAATTAACAATAAACTAATAATAGACAATTCTCCATAAGCAAAAACCACAACTCAACTAAAAAATCTTACCAAAAAACATAAACACCATATGATCAAAAATACAATAGTAAATGAAAATCTAATAATAATATAATACAAGGAAAAACTCTGCCCGGTTGTACAGTGAAAGAAAAAAAATTAATCGCTATTTAAATTCATGCAATTTTGACAACTTATGACAGCATGCTCCAGGCACAATAATGATTCACAGTTTGAACAGAAATATTTAGTTTTCCGATCTCGGCTTCTTGGACATACTGAACATCTTCCCATGAGTTTTGGAATCTTGGCAGGTGGCACTGCAGAGGTATCTTGGCCAAAATGTGCAATGTTTTGACGAATACTCCTTGGTATTCTTGGATTATTTTTTCTTTCAGATATGCGGTCCTGGATCAATTCAAAGCCCAACATTTTGATAAACAATCTTCTGACAAGTTTGAAATCTTAATTGGTTTCTCTGTATATCACCAAAGCATTTATAGCGGCTGTATTCAAGAAAAAACACGATCGTAAGAGGCCATCTCCGTGAGTTTCTAGATACGTTATATGATGCAGACAGTTCATCCACTACATCTACTCCACTTTTAGTAAAGTTGTAGAAGCTTATTATTTCTGGTAAATTTTTATCGCCAGTTGCTTCATCAATAGCTCCATCATGATGCATGGTGGACAACAGTAGGACGTTTTTATTTTTTTTTTTTTTTCAGCACATACGATAAAAGTGTAATATCTTTCTGAAAGCCAAATAAAGATGTCATTTGTTCTCTGTTCTGGACTGTCAAAAATTGTGCTGGGATGCATCGTTTGTTCTTTCTCAGCGTGCCTACTGATGTAAGTTTATGCTCGTTCAGCAATTTTATCATTAATTCATAACTAGTGTACCAGTTGTCAAAGGTCACATTTCGGTTGGAACCAGAAATAGGTTGTATTAGCCTCTCTACTATATCTATTGGGGAATTACTAACACTGTAGGGACCTCCTGGCTGTTTTCCTGCATACACTTCCAAATTTAAAACGTAGTACGAACGGGCAACAACTAGGGCTTGCACTTTCATCCCATACTATGCGGGCTTGTTGGGCATGTATTGTTTGAAAGCACATCTTCCACGAAAAGACTCCAACTTCTCATCTATCGTCACATATTGAGAAGGAGTATAGGCTTGCTTACAATTTTTAATAAATTTGTCCAGAATTTCCACGAACTGGAGCTAATTTGTCAATCGCCAATCTGTCTTTACGATTTTCGATGTTATCGAACCACATCAGAAACTAAAAACGATTTATAGACATCGTATTGCGGAATATATCGATATCAGTCCCATCTGTTTCCCATAAGTCTCTCAAATTCTGACGATTAGAATGAAACATACCTGCTAAATAAAGAAGTCCGATAAATGCTTTAATTTCACATTCATTGGTTGGTTTCACCATGCATTTATTTTGATATGCAATTGATTTTTGTTGAATTTTGAGATTGGGGTAGCGCACTATGTCTTCGATCATTTGTCGGTCAAAAAACAATTGGCAACAATCTAAAGCACGTTTAGCATTTTTTGTATAATGCTTCACACCCGGCAAATGAGTAATAATGTTCTCTGATCTTGGTCGAATCCGTTTATTATTTGAAGTAAGTTTGTTCCATTGTGTTCCGTCTTTTCCAAGATACATTTCTTCGTTTCTTGGAGGTCCGTCTGTGCTTTTATTTTCCGTCTCATCCTGAAGTTCTGTTTTTAATGTCTCCATGTCTGAATCTCCGTCAGAAACTACGTCTTCTATTGCGATCTCCTGCTCCGAGTCGGTGTTTTGGTCACTTTCAGAGATACGGTCAATATCGTCATCGCTTCCCGATTCGATGGCATCGTCATCAAATTCAGCCCATAGAGCTTTAAGCTTTTTCTGTTCCGCTTCGTTTGACATGATATTTTAGCTAAAAAATTAAACAATTGAATATTCAGATTCAAATAAGTCAAAAATAAAAACTTACTTATAATGTCAAAATTGCAAACGCGAGTACATAGGTGGGGTTTGACACACCCCAGAGTGTTTCAGGCACGTGTAACTTCACTCACTGCCTACAATGTACTGAGGTAACGCCTGAATTCGATGGTGGGGACATTTTTGGGAAGCTATTGGGGTGGACGTGCGCATAAATCTGCGTTTGATTTATTTTAAGAGCGATATGTGGGAGCTGGGGTTTGTGAAACCCCACATATGTAGTGCCGGGTTAAATCCAACTGATTTTTTAAAATGGTCTTATACAAATATTAAAAATTCCCTAGATTTTTCATAGAATTGAATAAAAATCCCTTTTTCCCTTGGCTGGCTCAAAATTTCCTAGGTATAGGGAAAATTCGCAATGTCTGGTAACACAGACTGAAACAACCAACAAACATCAGAACCTGCTTGACAGTTATTATGGACTTCGACCGGTTTTTCGTTCAATGCACGGAGTTCAAACACTTTACCATAGAGTAGTTATTTTTATTCGAGGTTTTTAGTGACTTACATCGGTTTTTTGTTAATTTTAAGTGCGCACGGTAAGAGAGCAATTACGAAACTATAAGAAATGATGTATAACTTAAATTTGGGTATAATGTGACTTAGATCGTTTTTCTACTGTACACTTCATTTGTCAATAACAGTTCCGGCAAACTTAACATGTTTAAAACACAACACTATACTTTTTTATATACAGCCGAACATTTGTAATATGTATTGATTATGTATTGGTCTACTTTATATATAGCCATCATCATTATCTTGTCTATTTAGTCCACTGTTGACATTAACCGTAAAAGTAGCAATTTTCTTCTGTTGATATAAAAAAGATATCTGCTGCAGGATATATATTACACCGAATTGTTCCATAATATGTTATTTAACAACTGTATTAAATTAAATAATCCATGAAAAATACAGTCACAACTCACTCGTTCTCATATTATTTATAAAATTCGCTTGCTTCATATGTTCTTATTAAAAAAAACCAATTAACAAATTAAGCAAAAAATTGAAGTGTTTAGTTTAATCTTTTTCTCGTTAAGTACAAAGGAACTGTGCTGTAAGAATTTTATATATTTAATATTATATACATTATATACATTATTAATATTATTACCGTAAAAATTGAGTCAGATTCTTTTTTTATTTATTATAAATTAATTTTTTGCCAGTACTAGGGGCCAGTATATAGAATAGATTTAGCATGTAAGTAGTGTCCTTTGTATCATTCTTTTGGATCTCTGATTTTGTCAGTACTGTACATTATATATTATACTACTTTTAAGAAAGATGGTAATTGCTATAGGGCATTTAGATTTAGACAAATTGTGACAATAAAGAGATGTTATTTTTTATTGATGGAACGTAATATATTTATTTAATGTTGTTTAAAATAAAATGTGGAAGGGTATCTAACTAGTTTTATTTTTATCTTTTTATTTGTCTAGTATTTATGGATTTTCCGGATGAATTCTGGATTTTTTAATGATGAAATTAAAATAAGGAACACAATGCTGTTCTTGGCAAAGTATATAGATACCCAGTATAGCAATAAATACCCGGTAGTACTTTAATATTTAAATATTAATATTTCATGGGAACATTACATTACAATTACTTGGGAACTATAATCAATGAGTCGTGAGACAATACCCAAGAGATTAAATGTGGCATCGGAAAGGCCAAAAGTGCATTCTTTACTATGAGCTCTGTGTTCAAAATGACCTCACCCTGACCATGACCTCACCCTGAAAATAAAAATAAGGCTCCTTAAATGTTACGTGTACTCAGTGCTTCTGTATGGAGTAGAAACGTGGACATTGAAGGCAGAAACTATATCAAAACTTCAGGCTTTTGAATTATGGTTATACAGAAGAATCCTGAAGATACCATGGACAGACAAAGTCACCAATGACGAAGTACTGCGGAGGATGAATACAACCGCGGATTTGGTCAACATTGTGAAGAGCCGTAAGCTGGAGTACTTGGGACATATAATGAGAAATCAAGGCAGATACAAGCTACTCCAATGCATTTTGCAGGGTAAAATTGAAGGAAAAAGAGCCTCAGGACGAAGAAGAATATCCTGGCTTGCTAACCTGAGAGCATGGTATAGAAAGACCTCAACACAGCTATTTCGTATAGCAGCCAACAAAGTCATCATAGCCAGAATGATCGCCAACGTTCGGAACGGACAGGCACCCTAAGAAGAAGAATATTTCATGAGATGTAAGATCAATAATTTCGACTATATATTAGTCTGACAATCTTAGATTGCCATTGAAGACATAGAATACCAAACAGGACCTCCGATTACCATTGAAGAAGTCACGGCAGTTATTAGAAAAACTAAAAATGGTAAAGCTGTAGGGCCTGACAAATTTTATACAGAATTCCTGAAACTAATGGACGAACATGGAATAAAATGGATAACGACTATATTTAACAAAATATATACAACTGGAAATATTCCCCAAAGCTAGTTAAAGTCGACCTTCGTAACTATACCAAAAAAATTAAATGTAAAATCATGCGAAAACTACAGAACAATCAGCCTAATGAGCCACTTACTTAAAACGTTTTTAAAAGTGATACATAACAGAATATATAAAAAATGTGAAGAACAAGTGTCACGAACACAATTTGGATTCCGTGATACCTTAGGCACCTAGAAGCTCTATTCGCAATACAAGTGCTTATCCAGAGGTACAGAGATGCAAGTGCAGGGATGTCAACTGTGATATATATTTGTTTTATCGACTGCAAAAAGGCATTTGATAGAGTAAAACATGACAAGCTCATATCCATCTTGAGAGAAGCGGGCTTGGATGATAGAGACCTGCGAATTATGTATAATTTATATTACAACGAAAATGACAACATTAAAGTGGATAACTAGTTGACAGAGACAATCTCCATAGATAGAGGAGTGAGACGAGGATGCATTCTGTCTCCAGTGATGTTTAATATGTACTAGGAGCGTATCTTCGTGCAAGCATTGGGACAACTACAGGAAGGCATCAGTAGCTTTGGCAGATAGCCCAGATGGTTTACAAGTTAAAGTACGTGGTAGTTAGTAAGCGCGAAATATTAAATACACATCTTTTGGTAAACCAACAGCCAATTGATAGGGTAAACACATACACATATCTTGGTCAAACAGTCAATGGGACCACTCTACTGAAATAAAACAACGCATAGAAAATGTTGCAATGAATATAAATAAATAGGCAACCAGTTATATTTGCTACATTTGGATGACATCTAGTGAGTTATGTCTGAATTGTAAACTTACAACACTTAAACAGAACTGAATGTAGTTACTACTTTAGTCATAGATGTATAGATGTCACGACTAAGTTATTAAATTTATGTCTTAAAAATTCTGTAAAGTGAAATTAGATCATAAGTAATTTCAAGTAGGAGGCTTAGTATTTATTTATAAATAATATTTATTTTTTGAAACTTTTTACACTTAAATGTACATTGTTTTATACTTTACTATAAAATGATTATAAATTACATATAAATACATGCCAGTTACACTAACTTAAGTGACGACATTTAATTAATAAAGTTTAAAAAGATAAATACTTGCGCTCTCGCCAAATCTTAAACTGACAAAAACGCTCTCACCAAAATTGTAACTGTCATTTTTGTGAAGAAATTATTTTTTAACTAAATGTGTTTTTTATTAAATTGTATTACATCGGATCACAAATATATGTGTGTGCGCTTGTATGGAGACAGGATGGGATTAAAACATGTCAGTCAATTTCCTGTAACATTCCTGCCTATAATATAAATCTGCAGAGATATTCTCAGGTATTTAAAGTTTAAAAGATACCTAACTTCAGTTAGGCCCCTGATAAGATCCCTTCTTATTTTCTCAGGTGTGTTTATACTTTGAGTAAGCCCATTTGCATGTTGCTTCATCACTGATTTCTAATATTATATTATTTATCTATGATCAGTCACTTGTGACTGTAATTTTTCCAATTAAGTGGAAAAACAGTTTTTTTTTTACATAGGGGACACTGGGCATACAGGACCACCGGGGCATATTGACTGCGAATTATGTATAATTTATATTACAACGAAACTGACAACATTAAAGTGGATAACCAGTTGACAGAGACAATCTCCATAGATAGAGGAGTGAGACGAGGATGCATTCTGTCTCCAGTGCTGTTTAACATGTACTAGGAGCGTATCTTCGTGCAAGCATTGGGACAACTACAGGAAGGCATCAGTAGTTTTTTGCAGATAGCCCAGATGGTTTACAAGCTAAAGTACGTGGTAGTTAGTAAGCGCGAAATATTAAATACACATCTTTTGGTAAACCAACAGCCAATTGATAGGGTAAACACATACACATATCTTGGTCAAACAGTCAATGGGACCACTCTACTGAAATAAAACAACGCATAGAAAAAGCAAGATCAGCGTTCATAAAGATGAAGTGTCCTTTCAGAAGTCACGATTTACCACTTAGTACCAAAATCTCTATCATCAGATGCCATGTATTTTCTACAATATTACACGAAGTAGAGGCATGGACGCTCTCTGAAGCTTCTTTAGGAAAGGTCGAGACTTCGGAACGAGAGAAACATTTTTTGGTTTACAAGTTTACATGTTTCATCGATTTCTAGAAGGTCCCACATGGGAAACTAATCGATATCCTAAAAACATCAGGACTTGATGGTAAGGATATAAGACTGATCCCAAACTTATATCTCCAACAAAAAACAACAGTGCGATTAGAAAATGAACTTTCCGAGATCTTCACAGTCGAAAAATGTGTAGATAGGTTTGCATATTATCACCGGCATTATTTAACATATACTCTGAAAACATTTTTAGAGACGCGTTGGACGAATCAGAAGATGGGATTGCTGTAAATGGCCAACTTATAAATAATAGCAGACGATACAGTATTGCTGGCAGATAGTGCTCAGGGGCTCCAAAGGATGATGGATAACGTTGTAGAAGTATGTAACAAATACGGCCTAAAACTTAAATGCAAGAAGGCAAAAATAATGATGATTGGTAAGAACGCCAACATAAACGAAAAAATTACATAGGCGATACACCGTTAGAATTAGTGGAAAAAAT